ATAACAGTGCTCTTGTATTATGTATGCTTTCTTGAATGAAAAGGGCGGATTTACAGGTAACCTTTAAAACAGCAAGAAAATTGAAGTTGCGTAGTGGCTGCTTTTAAAACAAATACACGCTCTGAATGAATGCCTGGTGTAGGCATTTAGATCAACTTTTTGATCATAATTCTTCAACTAAGGGTTTCTTATTTTTAAGCGTTGGGCAAGAGTCTCAAACTGACAGCTCTAGAGTTTACTTAGTCTATATTTATTTATGTATTATTGAGAGGGAGAAACATCAATTTTGTTGTTCCACTTATCTATGCATCCATTGGTTGGCTCTTGTATGTGCCCTGACTGGGAATTGAACTTACTATCTTACTTACTGTCTTAGCATATTGGGATGATGCTCTAACTAGCTGAGCAACCTGGCCAAGGCTAACGTTTACTTAGTCTTTATTTTTTAATTTGAAAATTTGATTTTAAATTTCTTTAAAAACAGACTCCAGCCCTGGCTGGGTGGCTCAGTTGGTTGAGTGTTGTCCTGTGCACCAGGAAGCAGCGGGTTCCATCCAGGTCAGGGCGCATAGTCAGGTTGCGGGTTCCCTCCCTGGTCTGGGGCAACCGATAGCTGTTTCTCCCTCCTCACCCCCGCCCCATCCTTTCCTCTCTCTCTAAAATCATTAGTCTTGCCCTTGGGTGAGGATTTAAAAAAAAAAGACTCTAGGTTTCTGGGGACACTCCTTGATGAGCCTGCCTGGCTGTATGATCTCTGGAGCTGCTGCGTGATCTTTGGTGCTTGGGTCTCCGCCACAGTAAAAGGGGCTTTTCTGTTCTTTGTATGAAGGAGGGTAGGGGAGGACGACGAAGGGAATGTTGTTTTCTGATAGAATTACAGCTCTGTTATCTTTAGGACTGTATAAAATCAACTCTAAAACTATACCAGAGTTAACTGCTTGTACCCCAAATAAACTGCCCTCCTCCTTTTTCCAGTTCAAGTCAGCCCGAGTTGCTACTTCTTATTTAAAAGCCTTTTTGAAGGCTCCTAATTTAGGCTGACATTGCCCTCAGTCTCCTGGGAAGACACAGCAGGGGAGACAAGAGGTGAAAGTACAAAGCTGGCCCCATTTGCAGTCGTGGCACCGTTTGCCTAGCTGACCTATGACCTTGTTATACGTCGTTAACAGGCTTGGTCGTAGCTCGCTTCATTCCCTCTGTGAGGCAGGAGAGCATGTGATCCCGTTTACCGTGGTCAGAGGAATTAGTCTGGTAGTCCCGGTTGGGGTCCTGCTCAGGGACGGCCGTGGCGCTGGGGGCATAAGTATTAGGTTACCTCTGATTTACGTTGTCCCCATACTCCTGTGCCTTGGCCCAAAGATGGCCTCTCTCTCCCAGATTAGTACATGTAGAGAAGATAATATGAATATCTCTCCAGGAGAGAGTGAGATAGTCAAACTCCTTTGCAAACTTAACTGGGTTTACTGAAAAATTGCCAAGCCTGACCTCAGTTTGGGAGAGGTCTGAAATTGAAAAGGGAGTCTGACCCAAATAATGCCCCCAATCCAGCAACCTCACTGAGAGGGACCTGGGTGGCAGGCTTAGGACGTTCCTGAAAGAGACGGCCTGAAGGGGTCTGGCTGAGAGAAGCCCAATCAGAAGTGGGGGGTGGGGGGCGAGAGAGGTCTGAGGAGAAGTAGGGAGAGGAGATGGAAGGGATGCTGGAGAATCACATGAGGGGGAATATTAAGGAGGAGGTGCAGAGAGGGGGAGTTCATCTGAATCGTGGGAAGATGGAGGAGGAAGGGAAGTAGGTATAGGTAAGAACATGTGACAGGAAGTGCGGAGATGAGGATGGTGAGAGAGTTTGAAAAAGGCCTGAATATAAGGCACCTCAGACCATTTCTCAGAGCAATAAGAGTACAGGTCAAACTGGGGGACAGAATTATAGTTGAGAGATTTGTTCATGGACCAGACTTCCTGGTCACCCAGTTTGTGTTGAGGCCAGGCTGTGTTGCAATAGAAAATCAAGTGCTTGAGCTTGAGGTCAGTAAGTCCCAGAGTCTTCAAATTCTTAAGTAGATAACCCAACGGGGAGTCCTTGGGCGAGGTCCATTGAATATTGCCCATGGTGAAAACTATGGAAAAGAAAAGGAAAGGGTATCTCAGGGATGAGAACAACTGGGGCAGGGGGAAGGCTTGAGAAGGGCATCCCCAACTCAAATGACCTAGAAGTCTCCAGCCAGAGCCTGAGGGCAGACCAAACACAAGCTCTGCCTCAGAGCCAGGGGTCCCTGGGGCCCCAAGAGCAGACCAGACCAGCAGCGAGATGGTTGGAGGTGTCCCTCACAGCCGAAACCCTGCAAAAGGGATAGACCCAGTACCGGGGTTTACCAGGAGATGAGGGGGTAAGCTATCACCTTCCATAGGATGTTTTCATCCAGAGATTCAGAGAGACTTAGCAATCGCTGGCCCTGAAGATGGGTGAGGAGGAGGCTGTTTGCAGAGTCTGGAGAGATGGGGAAGGGTTGGAGTCCTCTCTCCGAACCTCGCAGAGACAGGGTTAGGGGGTTAGACCAGGTCGAGCTTCCACGGCCGGCCTACTGCTCCTCTCGTTGCAAGTCTCAGGAAGCTGGAGGAGAGGGAGAAATAGAGGGTGTCCCAGTACAGGGCACCAAAATGTTAGGGGGGTCGATGACGAAGGCTGTGAAAGAATTCATAGAGAAGAAAATGTAGAGAATAAAGATTTTATTCACTCTCCAAGAAAGGAGAGGGACGTGGTGTGGAGAGATACACCAGCATTGAAGGGTGGGGGCTTTGAGTTTTTATTGGATTATAATTGGATTAAAAAAGGGTGTGGGAGTTGGTGTGGTGTGGCCTTTGGTCTGCCTTGTGTTGTAACACTAGGCTGCAGTTTATTCCAGTGTTATCTTCTGTCTGTGGCTGTAGGGCGTGGTTAGTTCTGTTCTTGCTTCCAGTTCTGGGGACAAGCTTAGACCAGTAAAATGACAGTCATGTTTAACAAAGGTCATAGGACTGTTAGGCGAATGGTGCCACAATAGCAAATGGGGCTGGCTTTGTCTTTTCAATTGGTATTACAATTCTTCTTTTCTATTTCTATTTCAATAATATTTCAAACATCCCTTTCCAGTCCAGCTTCTAAATATTGCTATTACAGACCTGTATCAGAAAACTTTTAAAACAGTTTCATTTGATGATTTGATGGGAGCCATTAATGATCTGTTGTGCCTGAAAATGATGAAGAGGTGGATCAAAGAGGCATCAAGGTCTTTGGGTAGAAACAGGTCTTAGGGAATGTGAACCTGGTGGCCCTGCAACACTTTGCATTACAATTAGACTATTTGCACGTGGCGGTCAGTGGGTCAGTGGCAGACAAGAGCCCTTGCAGAACTGCCTAAACCGGGCTGCAAACCCCGGGGGAGGGGGAGGAGGGGGAGGAGGGGGAGGGGGAGACGAGTGTATCGGAACGGGGTATTGCCTTTTGTTGGTTTGTCAACGGAGAATATGCCCTGTATAAATATAGTTTTCCCCGAGGTGGCCTTGTCTTAGCCGAGGGGCGTTTCTGAGCCGTTCCCCAGGGGTTGTTAGTAAGAATGCTAGCGAAGTGCCTGTACTCTGAAAGGTGCTCCCTGGTGACGGGCACTCGAGCACCCAGCCCGAGATACCCGGGAGAAGGCACTAGGACTTTGGTTTTTCACTCAAGAGGGACTAGGCGGGTGGAGGGACTGCGTGAGAGGATGCGTCCTTTCCTGCGTCTCGCCCTTGCGCGGGGCCCGGGGCGGTGGCAGCCCTCGCCATGCGGTCCCTGCCGCTCGCTTTCGCGTCCAGCCGCGCTCTGCCTGCAGCCGCAGCCGCTCTCTGCAGACCCGAGCTCCCGGAGCCTCCTCATGGCCAGCCCGCCCGGTGCAGCCGCGGCCCTCGCCCGCCAGGTACTTGAGCCCGGGCGTTTGAGGAAGGGGGGTGGATTGGACTCTGGGTCATCGGCGCGCGCGGGCCGGGCCGGGCGCGTTGCTGCCCTTGCCTGCAACGTTCTGCTTCGTCTTGCGCCTCCGTTCGGCCTCCACCATGACGTCTCCTCTTACCACAGCCCTGCTGGAAATCTAGGGTCCCAGCCTGCGAATTCCACCTCGGATAGGCCCCCGCCGGTCGAGTATAAAGCCCCGCGGTGATGCGCCCGAAGCGCTGAGCGCACTGCCGCCGGGGACGTTGAGAGTCGTCATGGAAACCGCTTTGGGGAAGGAGGCGGCAGCGGGGTTTCTGCGCTGCCAAAACTGACAGCCACATCCTACGTGCCTTTGCCACCCCAAAATATTTTGCCCGCAGCCTTCTGCCTCCTTGGATCTTTTTCTTCTCTCTCTCCTGCAGTTACTTAGCAGATTAGGCTGTATTTAAAAAAAAAATTTTAAAGGTCTACATCGTTCTCCAGTTCGCCCTTCTATTGTGTCCTTAAGTATCTTTTAAATTACCCCCACTTCCCTGAGGCTTTTGTCCTTAGCCTCTGGTGTTTGGTGTCCTTGCGCCTGCACGGGAGGGCCCTGCCCAGGGAGAACATGATTCACTCTCCTCCCCATCCCTTTTCCAGGCTCGCTATTGTACGCCAGAGATTGACAAGACCACGAGGCTGAGTGCGCCTTGGAGGTTTTTCTATAAATGGCTTAAAACCCTGGACTAGACTATTTACTCAGATATAAGGCAGACAATTGCCTTCTTGTTCTTTGCTGGTGAACCGTGGCTCTGTAGGGCTCACCTGGGTTTTGAGCAGTCTGCCCCAGCCAGCGGTGGAAGACAAAAACAGCCGCGACCTGGGGCAGGGTGGGAAGTGAAGGGCATCGCTCTCAAGACTATTTCCTTTGGGGCTGTGCCTGGGTGTTCGATCCTCCTTTCCTGTGTGCTGGGGCACTACAGCAGAGCACGATTGTCATGGTGAGTGATATTGATTACCCCAGGCCCCAGTTACCTACCTGGTGTAACTTAATTAATGAATTTAATTCTTCTTTAAGGACTGCAATAATGGATGCTTGGAAGAATGCAGAGAAGCAGGATCAGATGCGGTCGTGAGAACTTTAAAGGTAAGTTATGTGCCAGAGATTAAGTGAAACAATTCAACGTAAGAAATTCATGCCTTGTTGACATTTGGGGCAATTTTCACTGTGCTGGCTATACAGTAGTATTTTTTTTTTAAATTTGTTTTTGTTTTTTAAATCCTCACTTGGAGGGCATGCTTACTGATTTTAGAGAGAGAGCGCGGAAAGGAAGAAGAGAGGGAGGGAGAGAAACATGGATGTGAGAGAGAAACATGGATCAGTTGCCTCTGTTCTGTGATCGGACCCTGACCAGGGGCTAAACCTGCCATTTAGGCATGTGCCCTGCCCAGGAATCAAATCTGCAACCTTTCGGTTTACAGGAGGACACTCCAACCAGCTGAGCAACACTGGCCACAGCTACAGCAGCTTGATATGTTGCTATGCCTTTTAAATTCTCCTCTTAGGGGCAGAAATAATTCCGAGAGCAGGAGCACATACATCACGTCTGAAACTACCTAGTAGTTAAAAGTTGCTTATAATATTTTATAAATCATAAATATTGATTGGAAAGTAATCAATTCATGAATAGTCACCTAAAGGTTTATCTGATTGTACAAGCATAACCCTCACTGCACTTGTGGAAAAAGTTAAACTCATGATTTTTCTCTTTAAGCAGCACCTAATATTTTACAGTAAAAGTGTTGCATTTATTTCTTTTCTCAATGAATTATAATTTTATGTGCTAAATCTCATATTCACAGAAGAATAATGAGGAGCAACTGAGAAAGGACCTTTTAAAGTACTTTGAAACCAATAAAAATACAAATGTAAGGTATCATTTTCTCTGTAGTAATCAGGCTCTCCAGCCCCGCCCCTGCTTCCCCTCCCCAGCCATGGGGGTTTCTGCTGCTTCCCTTTACGCCTGGTTCTGCTCTCCTGCTGCCTGTCTCAGTCACTGTCAACGGTCATCCATAGCACAGAGTGTCCTAATGACCTCATGTCTGGCAGGGTTCAGAGAGGGAGTGAAACTCGACCCATCAGTCTTACACCTCCTGTCTCCAGCTTTTGCTATGTACCAGAGGCTGTGTTAGGCATTGGAAATCCAAACATTTCGTCAAGGTCCCTGCTCTCATGATTTTTAAAAAATCAAAACATCATAGAATATAGTAATTTCTTCACAAAAATAAGTATGTGAATTTTATCTGTCCATATTATTCGTGGTCCTTTAAAGACCATATCCTCTATAACCTTGTAACCAATCTGCTTTCTCTATGAAGACTAAACTCTAATACATTTTGGGGGACTTAGATTTTAAGATTCAGGTCCTTGAAAGAATGAGATAAAAGGGATTCTTACTTGATAATCCCAAAGGATCATATTATACAGTAAATAAATTACTCAGAGGGCATATAGATAAATAAAATTTTTCCAAAATGTCTTTGTACTTTATTTTGGAGAGTACATTTATCAAAGCTGGGGACAGTGAAACAAGGGCTTAGGACAGCAGCAGCAACAGGAGAGCGCCCAGGCGGGGCGGCTGTCAGCTCGCTGAGAAGTCAGAGAAAGGGGGCCTGGGCGACAGGTTCAGGGGGTGAGCCCCGGACAAGCTGCTGCCGCCGCCCGTCGCTCCCCTGGCTGCAAGACTCCTGGGGGCCCTTAGCGCTTAGGAGAGGCACACCTGAGAGGTAAGAAGACGGGGAAGGGAGCGGCACAGTGGTGCTTCCCCGAAGGGCAGGCATGTTCTTCATACTTTTATACATAGAGTAATTATTTTGCAGAGTAAAGAGTTCATAAAGTAAATAATGTCTTTCTTTGTTAATTTAGACTTTTATTTATTGAGTTTTAATTGAGGGAAGCATGTTGACATTCTACATGCAGGTATTTACCTATCAAAATGTGTTCTCATGGTGGCTGTATTCATAGAGCATATGTGATGAGGCAAATGAAGAATGAAATTGATAATTTTGGGAGAGAAAACGGTGGATTTTATAGGACCATCTTTGCTTTTGACCTATTTTTTAATCTCTTTCTTGATTTATCCCTTTTATAAATTTTAAATTGCCTTTCGGGGCTCTAGTGGATAGTTTTCATATTGCATCCCCTCCCCCATTTTGAAGCGGCCATTTTACAGTGAGAATGCAGTTTTCCAGCAGGGCCTAGCAAAGAGATGCTTTATTTCTGGGGAATCTGTGGGATCTTTTTGTGGACTCCAGAATCTTCTTTGTTTCGAGGCGGTCAGCTCTCTATTTCTTCCCATTCCCCTTGCTTTGCAGATCTCCAAATTGGTATTCTCCTCTTCGTATCTCCTTGTTAGTTTTTGTCTCTGAAAGACAATGAACAGAGCACCTAACCCTTTCCAAATAGAGTAAAAAAATGCCCTTATTGTAGAAAAAAATTCTGTAATTCCTGATCCAGTTGTAATGCAGAGTCTTTGAAAGTTTGTGTGGAGGCCTATGCAGAGACTTGCAGATGCACTATCAAGTGCTGCACAGAAGCTCTTGCCTGAATGTTGGCTAGTACAGGCCTCCAATGCTCTCAGCCAGGTTGCACTAGCCTGCTACTGGCTTCCCTGTTTCGGAGCAAATGATTACCCAAGCATGTGTTTTGAGTTAGGAAATTGTTTTTTTAATTGCCCTGTTTTTGTCAGTATTTCTTGTCATTTCACAATCCAGCCGTGGTGGCCTTCCAAATTCTTCCACAAGCAAGCCAATGAATGGTATAAAACGTTCTGACTTGAAATCATCAGGTAATATGGGGCATTGGAAGGAAACATTAATACTGCAGGAGAAAATATCATTTTACAAGTAGTTACTTTTTAGCCATCATGGAATGAAATGTAGAAAAAGGAATTGGTTTTTAAAGAACGCTCATTACAATTGTTTATAAAATGTGTTTCTTTTATGCTAATAATTTTAACCTAAGAACTGCATTTCATACCTACTGAAAACCAATCACATACCATTAGTTAATATTGTTTACTTTTCCACTTCTTTCAACTATACTACCTAATTGTTTAAATTTATTATTGTTAGGTAATTTCTCTTTGAACTCAGGTTAATGGCTGTTACTTTTAGTTTCCAGAATGAAAAGAATTTTCTCAAATAAAGGACAATTGGAGTTCTTCGTGAAATTCCAAAGCCACCAAATAGTGCATTACTCTGAAAAAGTGCATATAGGGCAATCCCTATATACAAATCAGAAAGATAGAAGGTTGCTAATCACGTCATTAAGAAATTGCAGGAAAGTCTCTGTACTATCTTCTCAATTTTTCTGTAAATCTAAAACTGTTGTAAAAAATAAAATCTATTTAAAACATAAAAAAAAAAGAAAGAAATTGCATGCCTCACAGACGAATGTAATGGTTTACTAAAATAGAACTATTACCTGGTAATATAATCATTTATACTCAGTTTCTAGAAAGTTCACTAGTATTAGCAAGTCCTTATTACAAGAACACTAAATTGAGCATAAAAACAACTTATTCAATATATCAGCTTTGTCATTGACTAAGCTGATCTCTCTGGGCCTTGGCTCACTATGTATTTTAAGGAGAATGTTCAGGAAAGTAAAAATTATAATCTCGGCCATCCTCATTCCTAACGTTGGTCCTTTCAGGTTTTGTAAAAACAACCACCGAAAGGTCTTTTATGAAATATAGTAAGTACAATTAAAAAAAAAATAAAAACTGTAGCAGCCTATTATGTCAATATCCAACCATGAAGATCAATCCAAGTAGTGAAATTTAGAACTGAATTAATCAAACATAGGTGATATGTACAATAGTTACTGTGCTAAATGAGAGTTAGGCCAACACAATAAAGAAACATGACTCCCATTTCCCAATTGCTCACACCAATTAAAAGGATTTTATAGACCCAAACCAAGCTTTCTGGAGGGTGAGCTGTCTATATGGAAGGGTTGTATGAATAGTAGTAAGTAAAGCAAGTGCTAGGTAGTTTGAAAGCTGAGGATACTACAACAGATTACTGAGCCAGATGTGGTGCTAAATTTCCACAGTCATTGCTGGAGGAAGAAGGAAAAGAGTTTGATAAACTGGAGACATCTCCTGTCCAGTGTTACAAGTGGAGGGAATGGCAGAGAGAAAAAAAGTCCGCGTGTGTGGTGGGTGAGATTTCTGCAGTCAAGTTTTTGTCCCGTGTTTCCTTCCAAGTCAGACAAAAGCGTGTGAACAAGAATTCTTAAGGATGGGTTCTGTTTTCTAGCACTGGGCTAAGGTGTACCCCAAATACAGCTCTTATTCCTTGTTACAGAACCTGGATTTGGTTTGCAGTTCACTCACCAGCTCTGGGTGACAACTTTGCATTCCTCACCTTCCTTGCAGCTAGAGAGATCCATCAGACACATTTCTCACCAATAAGGCATAAGGGAAATTCTGGTAAAATTTTACTTTGTGGTTAAAGGGGACAGAGAAGTCTGGTATTGTCCTCTCCAATTTTTCTTTTCATTCTTTTTTCTTAAATCCTCACCTGAGGATATATTTATTACTTTTAGAGAGAGACAGAGAGAGGGAGAGAAACATCTCTTGGTTGCCTCCTGTATGTGTCCTGACCAGAATTGAACCTGCAACCTTTTGGTATACGGGAATAATGCTCCAACCAACTGAGTCATCTGGCCAGGGACTCTCCACTTGTTCTTTAGGCTTTGGTTAGATCATTAAAACTGAAACTACCACTACAGCAATCTTTTTCTGGCCCTGAGGTGAATGTCAAGAAAATCAGAGAATCTTGACGTTCCAGAGTGTTGCCAGGCCTGGCTCCTCCAGACTTGTTAATGTGCAAAAACCAGCTCCCTGTTAGTTTTTTATTTATCTTTGGCTAAATGCATTGATAAATAATAAGTAAAAAGACTTAGAACATTAGTGAGAGGCAGAATTGAAAAAGGGAGTTAGTTGGGCCAAAATATTTGGACTTGAATCTGTAGCCATTGAACTGTTCATGGACATTGAACATGAAAAAAACACAAAGTATGTGCTACTGAGCGGGTAGTAGAAATTGAGGAATCAGACTTACTTAAGAAATACTTGAAAGGACAAGTGTCTCAGTTCAGTGACTAGTGTAGAACACCAAGGGTTCATGAGAAAGTGAGAATGATAGATGACCTTGAAAGTAACAATTACACAAAGAAAATATAGGAAAAGAATCAATGAATTTGTTAACGGAAGCCATCTCAAGGAAGTAGGGAGGAATGTGGTGGCCTGGGTAGTAGCTGTGGCTTTTATACTTTTCATTTTTCTTCCCCTCCTTACAGTCAAAATTTTAAGTAAGATAATAAACAGGCTTACTTTTCTTATTCAATAAATTAAGGGTTAAGAAGTGAAGAAGTAGGGAGCAATATGAGTGTCAGAAATACGGACCAAGTTTTGGAGGAAATATTGTGTTCCATTTTAGATTTGTAATGAGCGTTCTGATTGTTTTAGAATACATTTCGACCTGAATATTATTCTAAAAGTAAAACTGATTATCACTCATAATTTACCAAATGATAAGGCAGCTGTAAGGCAGTGAATTAATCAGAAGTAATTAGACCATTTGAAAATAATAAAAGCTGATGATATAAAGTGAAATTCTATCTTTGATTTTGGGGATAGAGGTGGTGGAAGGATAATTTTTTTGTGTTAAAAGAAGTGGAGTTATAAGGAGTTGACCTTCCTTATAACTTAGCAGGTTGAACCTGCACCTGGTTAATGCTGTTTTATAACTGGCCAACAAACTCCTTCACCTGTGGTTTTTGTCCGCATTCTAGGACCATAAAAAGGTTCGTGATGGTATTGCCTGTGGTTTGTATGCTAATGTAGTTGGTCATTTGTAATGGGCAGGCTGACCGTGTGGAGTGTTGGTGAGATACTGCTGTGTGAGATTATTTCCTGTTGCTCTATTTATCTTTCTCTCAGTAAGAGTTCCCTTTGTTCATTGTTTCTTCAGCACAGAACAGAGGATTAATATGTTGGTGTTCATTCTCTACTTCTCTGTGTTCAAGGAGGAAAACAGTTGCTTCACTCTGCTCATTGCTTCTGCGGTTTCCCTGGGAGATTTAAGGCTTATCCAAGAATTTTGGAGGGGAGTTGAAGTGTAACCATCATCAAGATGTTCAGTTCTTAATGGCATTCATTTTATTTTAACAAGTTGTTGCTGGTGTTGCTGTATTAATTATAAAAGTCACTCCTTTCTTCTTTGCCAAGTGCTCCACATGAGCCCTATGATGGTAACAAAGACGGGATGTGTTCTCCTTTCTGATTCATTTTACCCCATCTGCTGTTTTTGTCCCTGTTTCTAAATATCACTGAAGTTTGGTTCTGATATTAGGCAGTGTACTTTGCTGAGATTTCAAACAACAGGCAGAATTCTGAATGCAGGTGTGACTTGTTTGGCTCCCATAACGTGACATTTCTGAGTTAGTTGCCAGCATTTGCAGGTGAAGTGGGGGAAGGAGATGGGAAATGGGTGAAGGTGGTCCAAAGATACTCCATTCGGACCAAAAGGGAAATAAGTTTGGGGGATAGAAAAAAAGAGTCAAGTGATTTCAATTTTAATGGCCAATGACTTAAATTTTGTGTTTTTTTTTTTTTACTCTGTAGCCAGTAAATGTTCAGTTACTCTTCTTTAATGGTGCTGATTCTTCTTCCCCAGGCTAAAGATCTAATAATCACACCAGCCACCACTTTAAAGGAGAAACCAGATGCAAATAATGTGGGTTTTGGAACCGTTTTCACGGATCACATGTTGACCATCGAGTGGTCCTCAGAGTTTGGATGGGAGAAACCACACATTAAGCCTTTTCAAAACCTGTCATTGCATCCTAGCTCGTCGGCTTTGCATTATGCAGTGGAGGTAAGTATTCAGCAGGAAAGGATGGTGATATGGTTGTTCTTTGTTGTGGGCATCGAGTACCTCCCCTTGCTGCAATAGCTTTTGGGCAGCCTGGACTTGATCATATTTACTCAATAAAGCAATAAATGTCTTTAAAAGTTTTCCTTTAGAGTCTCACTGTAGGCAAGTCTTAACTAATTTTTTTAGATAATCTTGAGTTTTCTACAATGTCAATAAAAAAATCACTTAGGAAGGAAGGGCAGTTGATAAGAAAATTAGCAATCAAAAAAGCCTGTACTTTTAATACTTAGTATGTCACCTATCTTCTTAGATTTTCTAATAATTGAGGAAAGGCCATCGCGTACAATCTTATGGTTAGATTTTAATGCTAACTGTTTTTATGACCAGCACTAATGTATAGTTATGCATGTTAAGGGACATGTAATTAAATGTCATCTTTCAAGCATGAGTGGAATAATTATAAGCATAAAATATTAAACATTTAGAGATGTTTCTCTGGTCTTTCTCAGGATTCACACTTAGATACACAATACAGTACCCATTCCCTTGATCCTGATTTTATTTTACTTATTTGTAATGTGTTAGATATCTTTCCCAGAATATTGGGATGCTGGAAATAAACAACAGTTTACTTATTAAGGGACTAAAAGATGGTAATACTAAGTATTCATAACAATAATGATAACATTAGTTTTTTATTGAATTCCTGGTAAGTGCCTTGTACTGGGTACTTTATTTTTTTAAGTGAGAAGACCTATGGTTCTGAACTTTCTAGGCTCAAATTCTGTCTCTGTGGCTCCATAGGGAGCTCTGTGACTTGGGAAACGTTTAATCACTATGTGCTTCCAATTTCTTTACCTATGACATATAGGTAGGGATAATACCTATATCATAGTGTTATTATAAGGTTAGATGACTCATTTATGCATTTAGAGCCATACCTGGTGCATAATGAGAGTCCAGTTATTAGCTATTATTATTAACCTTTGAAGCATTATTATCATCTATTATAGAAGCAGATTCAGAAAAGGTAACTTTCCTGCTCAAAATTATACAGCAGTAAATTATACAGTAGTAAGAGCGGTGTCAGGGTTCCAGTGCCAGGCTCCTACTCCCTGAGATGTTACCCCTGACTGTATACACTAAAATTCCAAAAGGCCTCTTCAGTTAACTTGTTCAAAATTATAAAGCCAAATAATTGGAAACATATTCGCTGTCCCAAGGTGTCCACTAAATGTTGAATTTAGACTTCCCTTCCCATCTTTGCATCTTAAATGTACCATCTTGGGTGAGTTCTTTTATTATTTAGTCTAAGCTTCATTCATTATAAAATGAGCATGATAGCTACCCTTGCCTGAGCTGTATCCAATGGAGAGCAAATGGAATACAGTGCTTATGAACTTGAAAGAAGGAATATGGCAAGGCCTAGGGCAGTGATTCTCAAGCAAACAACTTTCATCAGAGTCACCTGGCTCCACCCTCCGAGGCTCTGATTTCTGACAAGCTTCCATGTCATGTTATATTCCTGGAACTGCATTTTGAGAACTGAGCATTCTATGTGCCTGGGACTGTGCAAAGTGCTCGGGATGGGATGGTAAACAAATTAGTCATGACTTTGCCCTCAGAATTCTTTTCTGTTTTAACGCCCACTAAGAAAGTTAAGCAGATACTTCATTTCAAAGGTTTTCTTCCCAAATATTGTGTTTGAAACATTCCTGTTTTGGGCTTTTCCAAAAATATGACTGTTATTTATACTGACACAGATTATTGAATGCCAATGTGATTTTTAAGTTCCATAATAGTTGTATTTTTTAATCCAAAAGTAAATAGATAATTTTTTGAGCATCTTTCTCTTCCACTCATCAGCCTTATTGATTTTAGAATCCATATTATTTTGAGATCTCCAACCACATGTGGTTTTTTAAATTCTAAAAATATTTTTAATTAGGTAAATAGGTGAAGGTTTCAAATAATGAAAGAGAGAAATGTGAACTGTGACTAGGGAATATGGATAAATGAAAATGAAATGATAACAGGCACTTCTTTTTCTGGTTGAAATAAATATTTAGTGAAATAAAGTATAATTTGATAAAGTGAACAGTATATGCACTATTCAATGAATACTTATGCATGAATGGTCATCCAGGTAAAGAAATAGACCACGTAAGCCTTCCAGAAGCCTTCATGTGTCCCTTTCTGCTATATCTTCTGTTCTGGCCACTGTTATCCTCACTTTTGTGATAACCTTTTTTTTTTTTTTTCCTTTTCTTTTTGGATTATATGTATTTCTAATACTTTAGTTTTGCCTCTTTTTGAACTTCTTATTAATGGGATTATATTATGTGTGCGTACCTATTGAGCTCAATACTATGTAACATCTGTCTATGCAGGGCCAAACCTAACATCGTTGGTCCTGGGACAAAAGTGCAGAGGGAGAGACCCCATGGTCCACCTGCTCTAGCTTTTCTTGCGCTTGTTCCACACTGTACCACAAAGGGCTGTGCGCACACATGCATAGATACCCAGACCACTTGGCATTCCCTTGGACTTAGGTGTGGGCACAGCAGTGGTGCTGTCTATTCTTGAGATGAACCTAGGGTAACCCATCCAATCTCTGAAAATGGGATTGGGCCCATTGGGCAGGGATTCTAGAGAATTAGGTACTTGGGAGTCTTGTCTAGAAAAGAAACTCAGGGTCCCACTGACTCCTTGCTTTAAGGTAACAGTCATATCTGGAAGAAGATTGGGGGTGAGAGGTAATCTAAAGTGTAGGGCTCAGGGTAGAGGCCCTGGTTGTCTTGCTCTAAGGGTGGTATGTACCACATCACATGTTCCTTGTGGCAATAGGATTCCATTATGTGAATATATTCAGTTTGTTGTTAATGGACATTTGTGTGTTTTCCTTCTGTGAACATTCTTCTACATAGTATGCTGCTGTACTTGTTTATGAATTTCTCCAAGTTAGCAGTTCTTACAGTGTGGCCCACAGGTCCCTATCCTCCCCTTTCAAGAGACTGCAAGGTTAAGATTCTTCATAATAATACTGAGATATTTTTTCACAGTGTGTTGGCATTTGCACTGGGTACAATTTTGACACACCCTTTGCTAGGGAGTCATATTCTTTATTACCATACATCACAGTATAAAAACATCACTTTTACTTAAGAATATTCTTGGTGAAGGAGTAACAATTATTAGTTTCATTACATTTTGACTCTTCAGGAACTGTCATTTTAGCATTCCATGTGACAAAATAGCAACTTCACATAAGGCACTTCTGCATGCTAAAGTACTGTGATTGTTTCAAGGAAAAGCAATTGGGAGATTGTTTTGCATTGTGAGCTGAACTGGCTGCCTTTCTTCCTTCTTTTTTTTTTTTTCTTTTTTTCTTTCCTTTCTTTTTTTTTTAAATAGCCCTGTCCTGGTGGCTTGGCTGGTTGGAATGTTGTCCCGTACACTAAAATGTTGTGGGTTTGATCCCTAGTCAAAAAGTTATGGTCGGCAACCGATCAATGTTTCTAATGTTTCTTTCTCATATTGATGTCTCTCTCTCTCTCTCTCTCTCTCTCTGTTTTTCCCTCTCCACTCCCCCTTCCTCTCTCTCTAAAATCAATAAGCATATCTTTGTGGGAAGACAAAAAAAAGAAAACAACCAGAATGGACTACAAAACATTCTCTTGTGAGCGTTAGAGGACAGAAGGAAGCAGTGGCCATTTTGTTGCATACACACACCATCTGGTGACTCAGTCAAACACCTAGGTGCTCTTGTGAAGAAATTTGTCAGATGTCATTTGTCTTTAATTGTTTGATTTAAAGCTATTCAACAGAGAGATTATTCTGGGTGAGCCTGAACTTAGGACTCTGTAAGAAAAGAGATCCCACGCAGCTGCTAGACCTGCGTGTCCAGTTTTTCCTCTGTCTCCCTTCCGAGCCCCACGTGGATGAGCTGCAGCTCACACCTGGGGGCCCAGCCTGCTTGTGGTCTTCCCTTCCTGCCTTCCTAGCCTGCAGAGTTTGTACTCACTTAGCCTCCACAGTTGCATTGGCCACTTTCTTCAAATAAATCTCTTAATATTATGTATATTTTGTAGTGGTTCTGAGACCTGATAGACCACAGGATTTTAATAAATTGACATAGGGCAAACATTTCGTGGATATGGTTTCAGGTATTACATTACAACTGACCTTGAAGGAACCACCACTTGGCAAATTTAGGAGGGCTATCAGAGAAGACTCTCCATAATTCTCTGAAAAGGCTATTGGAGGTACCTCTCCTTGCCTCAGCTACAAGTCTGTGTGAGATTGGGTTGTTTTTTTTTTTTTTTGTGCATATGCTTCAACGAAAACAACATGCTGGAAAGAGATTGAATGCAGAAGCAGGTATCAGAATCCAGTTGTCTTCTGTTAAGCCAAACATGAGAGATTTGTGATAATTGAAAACAGTGCCATACGTCACACGAATTCTTTTGGAAAATAGTTATTTTTTCATTAAAATATGTTAACATATCATAATTTAGAATTATAAATATATTTCTCACTTCTAATTTTTAATATGGTAAATATTGATAGAGAAACCTCATAAGTAAAAGCTCTTTGGAAACTTCATTATTTTTAAGAATATAATTTTTAAGGTATCCTGACACCAAAAAATTTGAGAAATGCTGCTTAGGGATATGCATAGGAATGATGCTACTGATCAGAGAATATATTTTCAACTTTACAAGCATAGAGAAACTATTTCCCATAGTGGTTTTACTAATTTTTGTAATCACCAGCCATGAACAAATATTTCTAGTGTTTTCAAACCTTGTCACTTTTTAGTATAGTCAGATTTAAAAATTTTAGCCCATTTAATATAATGGCATCTTATTGTGATATTAATTTCCACACAGCTTTTCATATATTTATTGGTCAATTGGATATCTTCTTACTTGAAGGGGCTGCTTGTTTGACTCTTTTACTCACCTTTGTATTGTGTTGTCTTTTTAGTTTGTAGAAGTATTTCATATAATTTGGACATGGGTCCTTTGTCAGTTATATGTGTTTCAGATATCTTCTACACTCTTTTTACTCTCTATATAATTTTTGATGATGAGAAATACACTTAAGTTTTTAAAAATTAAACTTACCAATCTTTGCTTTATGTTTGATATTTTTGTATCTTGTTTAAAGATTCATCTCCTAACTCTAGATTATGAAGATATCCTCTCCCATTATTGTCTTTCACAGCTAGGTCTTTAATCCTAGATTGGATTTTATATAAAGTAGGAAGTACAGTCTGATTTTTTTCTTTCTTTCTTTCTTTCTTTGTTTTCTTTTTTCCTGTTTTGCTACAGATACCCAGTTGTCCCAGCACCATTTTAAAGGACTGTTCTTTCTCCTCTGACATGTCATAGCACTTCTGTCATGTGCATAGGCCTGCTTTGGGATCTTCATTTTTGTTCAGTTGTCTTGTCTCTCTGGGCCTACATTCTGTTTCAGTTTTTCACTTGTTTACCTGCGTCAAAACCATACTGTCTTAATCTCCAAATCATAGGACGAGTGGTTCTATTTAGCTCTGCAATATCTGTCTTAGATATTCTTGGTCATTGGCTTTTCCATATAACTTTTGGGTACAGTTTATCAAGTCAATCAACTTTCATATAGTTCAGTTTGTTAAAAGAAAGTAGAATGCCCTGATGTGATTTTCATTTGAATAGCATTGAATATATAAATCAGTTTGGGAAGAATTGGCTTCTTTATTATATGAAAGTCTTCTATCCACAAGCATGGAATTGCTTTCTTCAGTTAGCTAGGTCTTTAATGAGTTGGCAGACTTTCATGTTTTTCTTATGGGTCTCCCACTCTTTTGTTAAATTTTCCCCACCTTAGTATTCCTTTTATTTGATCATAAATAGTATTATCTTTGAATTGCTGCCATTACATAGGAATATAATTTTGCATCTGACTACTTTGCCTAAACACATAATTTCAAGAGATCGTGTCAGTTTCTTTTTTATTTTCTAGATATTTAATCTCTTCTATGTTTCATGATCTATGACAGTTTTATTTTTTTCTTATTTAAACCAAATGTATTTATTTTACTATTCTTGCCTTTTTATACTAGCTGCTGTAGAATGTTGAATTAAAGTCACAGCAGATTATTTATGATCCCTATCTGAAAAGTCAAGCTTTACATTTTACCATTAAGTAGAATGTTTCCTGCAAGTTTATTTTAGATATCCTTCATCATATAAGAAAGCTTCCTTTTTTTCTCAATTATCTAAGAAACTTTTAAAAAATCATAAATGAATGTTTAATTTTATCAGATGCATTTTACTATGTCTAATGAGATCATATAGATTTTTCTACATAAACTTAATATCATGAATTTCATTAATTGATTTTCTAATGTTAAACCAACCTCTATTCCAGGAATAAATTCATATTAGTCATACTGTGTTATCTTTTTTGTATATTTTGCATCTGTATTACTCAGTATTATCATGTAATCTTTACATGTATTTGAACCTACCTCAAATGCATACAATTTTAAAGTTGTGAAATAAATGAAATGTTATGTAGTTACCTATTTTATTTTGTGTTTAGTAATATAACCGTAGCAGCTTTTTGTTTGAGATATAATTGACATATGACATTCTATAAGTTTAAGGTATACACCTTATACTTAAGGTGTTGATTTGATATATTTATATATTGCATATGATTGCCACTGTAGCCTTAGCTAATGCCTCTAATGTGTCACATAATGATCATTTCTTTGTTGTGGTGGAAGCAATTAATATCTAGTTACTTAGCAACTTTGAAGTTCATAGTATAGCGTTATTTATAAATTTTATGTTGTGCATTAGGTATCAAGGACATTTTATCTGCTACTTGCCTTTCAGCTCCATATTAGAAAGTATTGGGTTGGCCAAAAAGTCCCTCTAGTTTTTTCTGTAAAAAAAAAAAAAAGATGCTTTTTCATTTTCATCAATAACTTTATTGATTTGGATATTTTGAGAATGTCAGCTATATCCTGTGTGGTATAATGTTGACTGTTCTCAATTAACGTCTTCATTTGATGGCTGTCAACTTCAGTTGGTCTATCCGACCATGGAGCATCGTCCAGCAAGAAATTTCCAGCATGAAACTTTACAAACCACTTTTGACACATTCAATCAGTCATAGAACCTTCTCCATACACTGCACAAGTCTTTCTTTGCCTTTCAGTTGTGTCTTTTACAGTTCTTAAAATAAAAAAGCATAATATACTGAAAAAGTTGCTTATTTTCTTCCATCTCCAATATTAAAATGGCTACACAAAAACTCACCATGGGTAAGATTTTTTTTTTAATACATGCTGATATGAGAGCTGTCACAGTACATCTAACAAAATTGTTTCAAATGAAGTTAAAGACAATTAAGCGCCACTTGAACCATCTTAAGGAAAAAACCAAACAAACTTTTTGGCCAACCCAATATTTCTATGATATATTGCTTTCTGTATCTTTTTGTTTCTGATGTTTTTCAGATGTCATAAGCTGAGTCCAATCTGACAACCTTAACCTTTTTTTTAATACTTAAAAATGAAGAAACTTAGTATGTTTTATCAGTAAACTTAAATTGTAAATCTGCAAGGAAAGGTGAGCTGAATAAAAATTAACACATTGTAATGGCCGTGAGTTTCTTTCTTTTTCCCCTTTTTATTGAATTTATTTGTGTGGCACTAGTTAACAAAATATTACAAGTTTCAGGTGTACAATTTTACAACACATCATCTGTACACTGTATTGTGTGTTCACCACCTCAAGTCAAGTCTCCTTTTGTCACCACTGAGCCCCCTATACCCTCCCCCATGTCTCCCGCCCTTCCTTCCCCACCAATCACCACACTGTTGTCTATGTTTCCTTAGTTTTTTTTTTTTTTTTTGCTCAAGCCTTGCATACGACCAGCAAGCCTACCAACCCGCCCTCCCTTGACAACTGTCAGCCTGCTCTCTGTGAGTCTGTCTTCAGACAACCTCTTCTTTTAACTGAAGCTCTACTCTGACTGTATTTAATAAATTACTCATATATTTGCTCTCACGACATTGAATTTTGTGCTTTTTAATTGTGCTACATGATTTATATCTTTTTTTCTCGTAAGCTTTAAGGCTATACACCTAACAACTCTACTTTTCATTATCATTCAGTTTAACACTTTTTCTCATTTCCATTATTTTTCTTCTTTGACTCAAGCTTTATTTTATAATGGGTTTCTCCTTTTTCAAAATGTGGACATTTTCTAGTTATATTTCTGGTATTAATTTCTGGCTTATCTTCCATTGGAAAACATGTGAAGAAAACATGCGTTCTGCAGGTGGTGTGCGCTGGGTTTTGTTTGCCCAGTAGGTTAGTTTGTTGTTCTTTTTCAACTCTGTCTTATCTTTAGCTTATTTGATCTGTTGATTACCTAGAGAACCTGTGTTAAAATTTCCCACTAAAAAAATGACTGATTTCTCTCTTTTCTCTGTATTTGTCAGAACATACTTACTTCTTGGTCTTTTCCCATCTCTGTGCAGTGGTTTGGCTGGGGCAGTATTTTGAGAAGGGTGACATGGCCTTGACATAGTACAGCCTTGACCCGCTTGGTGTCTATGATTCTGGAGACTGAAGCAACTCTGATCACTTCTACGTTAACTGCTATCCAGAGTTTGAATGAGCCAGGTTAGATGAAAAGATCCATGAGTATTTTGAGGTGCAATGCTTGGGCCTTTGGTCCCCACCTCTGCTCTTTCGGCAGTTAGTCCATGTTGTGTGATTGGGGATGTTTTTCTTCCAATCCCCGTAAATGTATTAGTTAGCAATATTGCTCTGCCTAAGCACAGGATAACTGATTCTCCACCGGATTTTGGTAATACAATGACTTCTTTCTATCTCGGTTACTGTAACCAGTCTGTCAACCGTTTGTATTTCTAGATGTAGGGATCTCTGGTTGAAGTTTGTATCAACAGTTTTATAGGATGAAGCCGATGAGCACCCAGAGACAAGTCATTCTTTTGAATGCAAGGATTGTTTTCATTTAGTTTTACCTCAGATTTTAGTTTACCTCAGATTTATCTCTTTTTTCTTCAGTTATTTGAAGGAATGAAGGCATTTCGAGGAGTAGATAATAAAATTCGACTCTTTCGGCCAAACCTCAACATGGATAGGATGCACCGATCTGCTCTGAGGGCAACTTTGCCGGTATGTAGATTTATGGGTTTCTTTTGTGTTTCTCTTGATGTAATGGTTCACTGTAAGTTTACCTCCAAAGAAATCATTTCAGAATACTTAGATATTCCATACAAACCATATGAACACTGAAGTTATGTCTGATTTACTTTGTCATTAGTAAGGAAAAAAAATGTAAGGAGGTAACCATAGCATTTGGCAACTACACAATCTAGAATGTCTGTGCAGAATTCAAGTGTATATGGGAGATAAAAGGATAAGGAATAAAAATATGTCTCAAACAAAAATAAATAAAAGTTAAAGACTGTATGAAATTATAACACTGAAAATGGAAAACATGGTGTGCCACACAGGTATTTTGAGGATATTCTGCCTAATTGCTTTAGACACTGGCAAGTATGCAGCTATTTAATCAATTATTCTGACATTTTACCCCAACTTTTATTTTAAAAAAAATGGTTTCTCATGGCCATTGAATCCTGGCTCTGATGTTGTTATGGAGCGGAATCCATTGTAAGGTGGGTTAGATTTAGCTGCCAAGATTCACGTGTAGGTGGAGGTGAGGTAGATTACTTCCATTCCCTGAGACGTGACCAGGCCACCCTTCTGAAATGAAAGTCTTTTCCTTCTTTTCCAAGTTCTGAGTACCTAGCCTTCAGGATTCTAGCCCAAGCTGTGCATTAAAGAAGCTAAGCCCAAGTAAAATGCTTCTTATCAGCCAGGCTCTTCCTCCTTCTCCCTGTTTTTGTAACCCATGTTTCATCCACCTCCTTCAGAGGCCATAGTAGGATAGAGGAAGGGGAACTAAGGTAAGTTCTTTGTACTTGGTCCTCGTTTCACTCCTCTACCATTACAGACAGATCAGTGGGGAGCACTTTAAAATGGGGACAGAAGGAAAGGGAAGTAACATTTATTGGCTATCAGCTCTGCTACAAACTGTGTCATTCTTCATGTTTAATCAGAGCAGTAAGCAATTGTCAAGAAGATATGTCTTGTAAATTTTGTTAGCACCTTTGTACAGAGAGAAGCACATAAGCCCAGGGAGGTTAAATGACTTGCCTAAAATCACACAAAATGAATGGTTATGAAAGTGGAATCAAGTTTTAAAATTCCTAGTCAGGTTCTCCTTCCACTAAATCTTATCTCTAGACAGCAATGCCAGAGACCCAAGCAGGTGATACAGGGCGATGATATGTCCTATATGATTAGCAACCTCAATTTCTGTGATGTTACTACACTGTGATGACTGTTAACAGCCAAATTCTGAGGTCATGAGCTCTATTCAGATGCATGTTTCTGACTTATTTCTCCCCTGGTTAGCCTATCACCTGCCTGAAAGCATGTTTCTCTTTCCTGCCAAGTGAGTAGAAACTACTTATTTGACAAGTTGTCACTCATGTAGTATTTAAAAATCTTTTCCTCCTTAGAAATAAACTGCTCTTAGCTTTTGCCCACTTTTTACTGGGTAATCTTTTTCTTACCAACTTTCAGGATATGGTAACATATTCCAGTACAATCCTTTGTTGGTTATGTTACAAATAACTTCACCTAGTTTGCTGCTTCTTACATCTTTTGAAGAACAGAGGTCTTTAAATTTTAAGCAGTCAAAATTGTATCCATTTTTTCTTTATGATTTGTGTTTTATGTCTTTTATTTAAGAATTATTTTCTACCTTCAGGTGACAGTGGTATTTGTAATTTTTTAAAAAATAAAAGTCTTACGTTTTACGCACTTAAGTGTATGATCCAACTATAGTTGATATTTGGATGTGGTAAAAGGTAGGTATCCAATTTTATATTTTCTCCATATGGATAATCCATTGTCCCTTCATAATTTGAGGGTGAAAATATCACAGGAAAAAATTCTTGTTTGGTTTTATTACTTTTTTAACAGTCTAAAGCTTTCATGAGAATTATTACCTGTGCTCCAAATGAAGAAAATTTCATTATTTATTATGTTTTTTATTTCTTCAGGGGTTTGACAAGGAAGAACTTATGGAATGTATTCAACAGCTTGTGAAATTAGATCAAGAATGGGTCCCATATTCAACATCTGCTAGTTTGTATATTCGTCCTACATTCATTGGAACTGAGGTACCACCTGACTCCCTCTTTTGGGATACTTTGTGAGGGAGTTATTATTATGTATAATTGTAGATCTTTGGGTGAAACTCTTAGTGAGTGGTGTGAACTAGCCCCCAATATCATCATTAATGACTCCTTTCTCCTGATCATCAAGACCAGGTGTCAGAAAACATTTTCTGAAAGGGATGGAAAGTAAGTATTATAGGCTTTGTGGACTGTCTGGTTTCTGTCACAGCTACTGAACTCAGCCATTATAGCACAGAAACAGCCACGGATTTGAACGTAAATGAGTAAAGGAATGAGCAAGAAAGCGAGGCTGTTTGCCTTCCTCTAATCAAGAGTAACCATTATTTCCTCAGTTTGCCAGTCTAGTCTCTCTGGTCCCAGCAGCACTTTCTTCCAGTGTAGAAGTGGAAGTGGTTTTAAAATTTGGAGGAGAAAGAGCTACTTCTTTTTATTTTTGTTTTCCTGAAGTCTTGGGATCACTTGGTAAGGAGCGGGAGTGAAGCACCCTCTTCCCACATAACCAGTGAGTAGGTATTGCTAATAAAAATAGTGTGCTCCCAGTGGGCGGAAATTTGAAAAACAATTTTTTAATAAAGTTCACATTATTAAACAGAATACTAAACGTTAATACATGAATCTCTTGTAAAACATTTAAATTAAAAGATAAAATCATTTATATTACCAAAATATTTCTCAGATTAAAAAAGAATTTCAGGATTATTTTAATCATTATCTTCCAAAATATTTATAGATAGATAAAAACTTTAAGAGAAACTAAAAGCTTGGGTGTTTCAAACTACTGTCAATTGCAAATCTGAACTCATAATATTTAAATAAAGAACATCTACACTGTTCCAAATTTTTTCTTTACCGGAGAAGAAGCCAAAATTACATTACTGCCAGGTTGAATACTGGATATCTAAGAGCCCTACATCGAAAAAAGCCAGGGTTTGCTGAGTTCAGCATCTATTTTATCCGACTTCACCCCATTTAGTAACTCTGAGCAGGTACACACCCATAGGTGCACATATGCCGTTATTTTCTCAGTATTCCGATGAGTGTACAGGTGCTTTGACCACAATCATTAGCAAAATATGCACAACCTCGACTTCGGAAATTCCTTTGATCATTGCTCCTAGCCTTGCACTTGCCCAGTCAGTCCCATTTCATAACTCTCTCCATTAGGGAGGCAGTAGAGCGAAACGGTACTAAATGATATCAGGGCTGAGACCACATGTCATTAGAAAAGTTGAGTCTGAGTGTAGGGACAACCCTCCAGGCGCTCTGAAGTCAGCTCACCCAGCCCTTTGACCAGGTCCCAGGCTGACACCGTACATCTGCCAGCTACCAGTAGATTAGACTTTTCACTGCACTCAAAAGACCAACTGACCTTGGCTCATGTGGAAGTTGATTAACTCCTCATATTCATTAACTCAAACGTCCACATTGGAATACCCCTAGATACATTTCTGGAGTTGAGTTCAATGAGAGAAGCAGTTGCTTTTGGTTAATGCCAGCCTCAGATGTACAGAATACAGTCTGAGTAATGCAGAAACATTTTAAGTCATTTCATGTAGAAAGTTTCCCCATTCACAACTTAATTGGAAACCCTTCAGTATGACATTTTCATTAGAGCTAGCATTTAAAAATCTTGCTGCCAAATGGTCCACTGATTTCTGGTTCACTCCACAGGGAGCGTAAGAGCATATGCATTTTATAGACATGTCTTTTTTTTTTTCCTTTTATCACCTTGTAAAATCGTGATATTACACTTATAGTTTAACCAATGATCATAAGAGTTCTATGAAAAGAATTTCCTTTATTCACTGCATTTGTTTATGCTTATACATCTTATCTTTTCTCTCACAATTAGCTTCTATAAAGGAAAGAAGCTGAATAGATTTGAAAACTAGGTGTTACAGCAGCAATTTGTAATCATTAACTTAGGTTTTGCTCACATTTTTAATGTATTCTTCTGCAACCTTATTTGAAATATATATATCATTCCACTGTTTACAAACTATTAAATTCTCATTTGCGTAACTCTGTTAACATGTCTCATATTAACAGCCCCATTTTAGTATCTTCAAACCTTGAGTCTGTTTTTAGAGATCTGGCTTATTTGTGTTGCTTATAGCATATGGTAATTAGCGTTATTATCAGGCTACTCCTACCAGTGGACACCCTCTTGAGGCTGTTCTTGTCCATTTCAACTTTATCACAGGGGGCGATTGTTATTACCTTTATTTTTACTTTCTGGAGTTATGGTGCACCTGGTATTAATTACACCCCCTAAGGTCATGGCACTTGCTGTCATGGATCATATGAGGTCCCTCTGGTTTTTTTAATTCCCTATTGACTTCATTTTCCACTCTTCTCCTCTTCCTCAGTTGGAAATCATTCTCATGTACTAAGTGAATATTCTTTTGGTTTGTATGTGTTGTTAAGTCTCTCTTATTCCTTTGTAAGTCTGTCATTTTAACTTATATAAAGGATTTTGTCCTATAGATCATATTGTATTTCTTAATGTTTTTCCTCAGCACTGTTGTTCATTTCTGTCCAGGTTACTCTGTGTTTTTCCCATCTGTCACTTCTAACTGCTGCATGGTTCTCCATGCTGGACACATATCTACCACACTTTGACCCAGTTCTCTTACTGGGATTCCATTTCCCTGGTACTTCGTGTAATGCAGCAATGAGCAGTTTGGAAATACGCAACCAGGGAATTAGAGAAAGTCACTGTTTCCCAGGAAGATGTCCATAGCCCGTCTTACTTTCTCCATCCTGAGAAAGCCCTGCTGCTTGTCAGGCAGGAAAGTCCACCTTCTCTTTGATGAAATAGTCGTTTGGTTTGTTCGCATCAGCATCGCTGGTGTTTTGAAGCTCTCCTTGGTGTCATTGTGCTCAGCACTTTCCGTGCACTAACCGACAACAACCCCGTGAGCAGGTGCTGCTGGCACCCTTTTAGAGATGAGGAAACTGAGGCCCAAAGAGGTGAAATAAGAACCCGCAGGCTCTTAACCTTTATGCTTCAGCATCTTTATGTATTAGCCACTGTGCTAGGTCTAGGGATACAGTGCTGAGCAAAAGCCTTTTTCCTGTTCCCTGTCTGTGGGAACTCCCTTGTCAGATAAATGTATTACAAATAGTTTTCCAGTCTGTGGCTTGCTTTTTGTGTCTCTTCACTCTCTTATTAGCACTTAATTTTAGTGTGATTAATTTTTTTATGTTTTGTGATCTTTATGTTCTAAGGAAATTTTCCTTTACTCCCAAGGTCATACTTTTTTTGTGTTTTAGAGTTTTGCTTTTTCCAATTAAATGAAATCCATTTGGAAATGAATTTTGTGTGAAGTACTTAATTTTATTTCTCTCCGTATGGATACCAGGTTATTCCATCACTATTTATTCAATTGTCTAACCTTTCTTCCTTGCTTTACAAAGCCAACTATTGGTTGATATGTCAAATTTCCCTAGATGAACGTTGTTTCTGGCTCCCTGTTTGTTCTCTCTCTCTCTCTCTCTCTCATCCTTTTTTAAAAAACATAAATGGTAGCTCTACTATGCACAGTTTTGTCTGTATTATTGGCCTTGTACTTAAAATTTGCTTGAAGATCCTTCTGTACAGTATACATGTATATACCTCTATTTTTTCCACTTTCCCAGCTATAACATAGTCATACCTTCATACAGATGCCACAAATTATAAGATACACCATTACTTTATTCCCTGAAATAGAAAAATATTGCCAGTTAAACTATGATAGTATTTTCCTAATAATCCTGAGCGATTCATGATTATTGCTCATATCAGATTCTTTTTTTTAATGTATATTTTCTGAGGAAATCTACAATTCCTCTTGCCATCAGTTGCACTTCTGGGCTTGTGATAAGCATTTTTAAAAATTTTTGGATGTATCTTAATAATAAAAGCTAACACAGCTTTACCTTTGAATGGATTTGTTCCTACCACAGGTTCCATTAGAGGGCCTGGTTGTTGCTTTGCAAGAAAATATTAAATTGCATTTGTTTAAAGTTATTATGCATATTTATTTCACTAATATTAAATATATGTCCTGCTCCTGTTTTTGTGTCTTTCTATGCAGTCACTTCTTTTAGTTCCAAATCATACCATAACCTTTTGAAGACATTTCTAATAGCAAATACAACATAGATAGCATTACCAATGCCATGAGACGTTGGAATTACCTTCTGTATGAACAGGTAACTCCAAGTCTGAAAATGTCAGCCTTGCTATGACTATTTAGCAATAGCAATCGTAAAATTCTGAGTTCAGATTTCAGATATATTAAGTATGAAAAAAATAGACATTGTGAAATATGGTAGCATAATTTATGTAATGAGTGTCCTGTTGATCAGCCATAGTGTTGATATAACAAACATTAGAATCATTATTAGTAAGTTTGAGTAAAGCAGAAGAATTAAATTTGGGAATCTTAAAAATGCAGGCTTTCTTTCAGTAATGTGTTCTGTAGATATATCCCCTAGTGCACATAAAGACATATATTAAAGGATATTTATTGCAGCTCACACAATTTGCTGTTAAACTGGTATGAGTGTAAGAGAAAACTTGTCAAGTTTTCCTTTGGGCCAAAGCAGTTGGCTAGCAACCATTTGTTGTGATGAGGAAGCGTAAGGGAGAAGGTCTGTTTGGTTTTTGTTGTTGTTTTGTTATTGCTATTTATTTGTTAAAATGATATTGGATAGAATCAAGAGTTTAGTTTTGGTTGTGGTCATTTAAACCAGTGATGCCAAGCAGGTGGGTAGGTTAACGAGACAGATAGAGTTTGGAATTTAAGTGATAACATTATGTTTACCATAAAATGCCTTTAAAGCCAAGATGAAGTTTTCAAGGGAAGAGCTGTAGATAATGATGAAAGGAAGGCAGGAACTAAGCCCCGGGGCAGGCCAGGCCAGCATTTAGAAGAGAGGAACACGAATCAGCCAAGAGTCTGAAAAGTAGTAGCCTGGAAGGTAGAGTAAAA